AGCTTGATTAAAACGGTGAGCATTCGGCCATGAAAATGAATCCTCGACTTAAACTTCATAGCCATATTCAAAAAGTTGAACTCTAAGGGAGTCCAGTGATCGCTATTGCTAGCGTTTTCTATACTATCGGGAGCCTTTTTTAAGGAAGTTTTCGGCTTGGAAGTTACTTCAGTTGAGGGTCGTGGTTAGCTTAGAGGAATCTTTCTGATGGTAGACCTTTTTGATGTTAATCATTTCAACGAATAACATTGAAAATGGTAGACTGTCTCTGTGTTCGATGCACGTTTTCACAGCAACGACAAGTTTGAATGGACTCTCTGAATACAAGTGAAGTAGTACAATGGCAAGCAACTACACGAAGTATTACCCCAGAAAGAATGTACCGTGTGAACGTATAAGTTTAGGTAATGTCTTTCCCCACAGGCATGATTCAACGAGCGATCCCGGAGATCCCATTATGATGAGCTCATCTAGGGTTTTTCCCGTTGGACCTATGGCACACCATAAGTGACTAATCTCTAACAGTAGTATGGATTAAACACCGAGTGGCATGTTAGCGGTTGAGCTACCCCGTGAGGTCTGTCGTTTTCTGCCGTTTAAAAGGGCCCATGAAAAAGTGATAGACCTACCAGCAAGTCTGAAAAAAATGATCGGGCTAGTCGGTATTTCTCCTTCTATTACCGTCCCCTCAAGGAGCACATAGTATGATCATCTATGTGCAGTCAGGGGATCCGTGCTGTGAACCACTAGTAAGGCCCGCGGGCCAATCCCCCCCCCCCCCCCCCCCCCCCCCCCCCCNCCCCCCCCCCCCCCCCTCTCCCTCTCATTCTGCTCTATCCATTGTGTAAATACAGGGTTATGTGAAAAAGTGTACCTAAATATCTAAAGTGAATTAGGGTAGTTTGGAAGATAAACAACCTCGAGCAAGAAGTGATGTGATGGTTACTTTGTGGTCACCTGGTAGCAACTGATCGACATGATAATGGATGGCCTCATTTGTTTACTCACGAGAATCGCTTGATCACGAAATCATAGGACTCTGACAACATCACAGATTGCTGAAGTACCTGATAATCTTCCTGCGTCAGGGCATGACTTCTGCGTACTCGGTAGTATTGGAATGAGTATAGGCGCTGTCGAATGCGAGGCGGATGAGGCCTGCTTTTTGGTAGGGCCAATTTCTGCCACCTTTTATGTCCAAAGAAGGCTTGTCGCACCGCTGTCAGCGAGAGTTTTTAGTAAAGGACTCCTTGCTTTGAAAATGTAGAGCTCCAACAAGACGGAGATACTATCTCCCGATGTCAGAGCCTCGCTAAATACTGATCCACTATAGTCCCCGTATAGGAAATGGAAATATGTATATATGGGTTTATTACCAGAGCGTATTAATAGCTTATCTAATGAGCCCCCTAATATCAAAGTTAAATTTCTGAAGGTGCTTAACTAGAGGACATCAACTGATATTTCCGGTAAGATGGCCGCACTCGCTGAGGTTACATCAGTCCCGAAGATTAGGCTTTGAAAGTTATCGAACTTCCACCAAGTTCACTCCATAGGAGATCCTGTCCAGCCTCCCTCAGAGTCCCATCTGCTCCAGGTCAGGATAATTAGTGAGACATTCTTGTCAATGGACGGTACGAGCAGTTATAGCAGAATGGACCAAAACCTGATCCTTGGAATATAGATCTTCATTAATAGAATCCCATCCTTTCCTGACAGATTTGCTCGTCGAACATCTGCCCGAACTAGACCATCCACCGAACTCGATTCTCGTATTTCTGGAAGAGAGGGAGAGAAAAAATTAGGCTTTCTCCTGAGAGAGCCTTAGCTTGTTCTTTCAGTCAGCAAGCTCTCTCTCTCTGCCAGGGTTCGGTTACATCACCTTTTTAAGTGTACGAAAGGAGTTACTCGGAGATCCCCCACGGAGAAGGAATGCACAGGTTGAAGCAGCCTTATGGTTAGTGTATACACCGTAAGGGTTATGGAATGATTCCGTGGCGTTACGTACCGTAGGCTGTAGCCATTCAGAGGTATCCCGGGAACTCTATGGGGAGCACGGAGCAAGGCTTGGAAGGCAACTGGCTAATAGGACTTCTGGGTGGTCTAATCGGCAAGCTTTCTTTGCCTATGAGTATCTATAGAAATACCCAGATAAAACCACTGATACTAGTGTCAAAGGAATGCACTGTCACAGTGAGAGGGAATTTCAAAGGGTCTAAGAGAAGATCCTGTTTTCTAATAACCATGACTCTATTTCTCTTTCTGGTAGGGGATGAAATCACATATGGAGATCCTACGGGGACGTTTTTATCGTAACTCTCCAATCGCAACATCTGGCCGGAAAAAATTTATGCAAAAAGTGAGGCAGGTCAGCATCAGCGGTAAATAGCATATGCGTAGATTGCAGCCTCTTCCCATATACGTACCTAACCTATTACACATGGAAATACGATGGCACATTGCCAACACAAACTCCCTCCATTGTCGCTTTACACTTTTTGTCCCCGGTCGGCTGGAATGTCAGCACACCTGCAATCGCTGCATCTGCACCTTTTCATACCATCTGAATACCGTAGTAGGGCAAAAATTGTTATTCAGATGAATGATGACCTTTTTTATTCTCATCTATCACATGACTCGCTAGCATTGTATGATATTATCTACAAATCATGAGATTGAAGAAAAATATAGTGCAAACTAAATTTAGGCGTAAGGTTACGGTAGCGATGGAGTGTATGCATTAGTTACGTTGCCAGCCTGCTATTTTAAAACTTAGCACCTGTTTTTTCCCTGGTTTTCTTGGTTTCTTCGCTGCTCCAAATGATAATCAATCTAACGATCACCGAAGAAGTGATCTTTGTACTAGTACATAGTATACTATCTCTCGTGGTTTTCGTCTCCGCCTTTTGCATCTCGTTCGTTGAACACCGCTTGTACTCAGCCCAGTTGTTTTCGTGGTTTTGTGTGCTTTTTAAGTTAGGAGATCCATATTATAGCTGATACTAGCTGCTTACCATGATTTGTTTCACCCACACTCAAATACAATGTTGGTCCTTCTTTCTTTTGAGGGTCACGCTCTTTTTTACGACCTGATAAGACACTATTCTAAGGCTGCTTGTGTGATTTCTTGTTATTTCGATGTTTATTTATTTATCTATTACCAACTGTGAGGATCCTTTCCCAAGCTCTACTCTATGTCCTTTTTCCCATACTGTAACTATTCAGCAAAACATACTCTTATCAGCAGGATCTCTACCTTTTCAAGTGACTACTGAGTGCTGTCCTATTTACATTAATAGCAGAGGCCAAAAATCAAAAACCAAGGCCAAAGTCTTTGAAAGTCATACGAGACGTAATTTGAGGCACTAATGGCCAAGCAGAGCAGAAAAAAAACAAAAATAAATGTACACAGTCGGATGTTCATTGAATTATTCGCTTTTTTTTGTTCTTTTTAAATGCCTTCATCTGCTCGCTTACTTATTCTCATCTCTGGAGCTTGATCCACCAAGTAGATTTCTCAGCCCAGGCATTCGTTGCTAATGCGTTCAGGGATGACTATTCCTGAATATAAAAAAAACATCACGATCGAACCTCTCTCTTATGAGGCAAGCGTTCGTGGAGTTCAGCTGAAAGTCTTCTTTTTTCAAACACTGACGAATGACGGCAACGAAAAGCAAACACTTACTAGGAGCACTGACTATCGGGTGAACGGAGATCACCCGATAGTCAGTGCTCCCAGTAGCGGAGGTGGCGTAACAGTCAGTCTTAGAATTTCTTTCACTTTTTTCTATTCCATAGCGGTTACGCATGACGTTCCCAGAGCGGCACCAAAAAGATCGGGCGGGTGGGTATCGCCCTATCGAACATTCTGGGTCTCTTCACGACGGTGAGACAGCGCTGTCGAGTGCAAAGATCTTGTCTACTGACTCTCGAGTCAAATAGTACGAATCCTGATCGAATATTTTCGTTATACCATTCATAGCCTATTAACGTAACAGTATACTGAGCAGTAATCTTAAAGGCATGATTTTGATCATTGCTGAGTTTTCGTTCTTCTTCTTGTCCTAAAACTTGAACCGCGACACCTTTTGATTTTCTTCATTGTTAGTTGCTTGTTCTCCTCACTTTAACCTCACTGAAGCCACGATACTAATGTACTGCCACTGTAAAGTCATGGTGCTAATGTAGAAATGTGTCTTCTAGAATTCCATATGGTCTGATCAGCAGATACTGTTCTGGAACAAGGACTTCGCGTTTCGTGATGTTCCTGGGAAAGTTGAAAGCCAGGCTGCCCATTATGAATGCTCTCCCCTTTCAGATTTCCCATTGTGTTTAGTTGTTTCCCTGCTACCTCTTCTCCTTTGCCTCTCCGAGGCCTCAGTATGTAACAAGGCTTTCTCTGAAGGTTGAATGGTAGGGAATGTGACAAGCGTGAGAAGCGGCTTACTTCAATGGGGTCCTGTCATTAAAAGGCCGCATAGACGTAGAAATTCCATCAAGTATTGATCCTTCTTACTATAACGTTGTGAAAAACATCCGCCTTTGTGTGTGATGACATCTGGCGTGAGAACAAGTTTGTAGGCGCTGACTTCCAACGCATCAGAGCCGCAATGCTTAGTTTTAACTTCTGTCTTTTGTTTCCAACGAAGGAATAAGTTTACCCTCAGAGTTTCTGAATCCTTTTCAAGAATCTCAACTTGGAATCTTGTTGTCTAGCTGTTTTGAAATCTTCAAGCAATAATCAACTGCTATTTACCACTCTGATATACCTGGAGATAAGCCTGAGTGTTGCACTGTTCAACACTCATGAGTACCTTTTGAAGGCGCATGTTCGGAAAACTAACTTTCAGCGCGTTGAAAACTCATGTGATTAAGGTTGTGGGGAGTGCTTGTAGAACAGATAGCTTTGGCTTCTTATTAATACAAGTGTGCTGGCCGATATAACATCCTATGTTAATTTCATTCCTCCTTCTAATGCTGCTATTGTTTTTTATTTTAGGATGACATCGCTTACGGCAGCGAAATTCCTTACCGACCGCGTAGCTGTCGTTTCTGCTTCAACCAAGGTTTGATAGCATTTGTTCTTGGGTTGATAACTTATCAGTTCAAGCAGTCCAAAGTTCAGGGTATTGGCTTCGCTATTGCTAAAAGACTGGGAGCAGATGGAGCATCTGTAGTTGTTAGCAGCAGAAAGCCGAAAAATGTTGAGGTACGTTGATACATCCTATGAAAAATTATTTCTGAGAATTCACCTTTGCTAGGTCGTGCTTGTAAGAGGTTTTTGAAGGGACGGCAAATTTTTAGTGTTAACAAAATATAGCTGAGGAATTCATCTTGCGTTCTTCTCTGTTGAATTAGCATTTTTTTTTGTTCGCAACTTTGAGAGACTCTCAAGATAAATTTCAACTTTTCAAATGGAAGCGAGGGGTCAGAGTACGGATTTTACTACGACCTCACATGACTACATTTCCATCTTTTGGGTATGCTTAAAGAGTTTTTTGTCTTAAAAAAAAGCAAGCTTTTCTGTTCGCCCCTTTCCTACTACGCAGTAGGCGGTGACAAGTTAAGGGCTTCGATGTCAATTGTCATGTCATGTCATTGCAATTCGCCCTTCTCTTTTCGTCCATCTTCGAGGGCTGGGTATGAAGGCAGCTTTCAACATTAATGATTATGGCTTTTCTTTCAGAATAGTTTCCGTCATCTTTTGTTGAAACTATTACAACTACTATTACTATGTAATTATTACAACAATGGTAGCAAGCAAAAAACTCTGTGGTCCTGTTCACAAAAGTTCATAGTCCAATGAATGTTATTTTAATAATGATGACTATTATGATAGTGCCGACAATGTCCAGACAGAAGCTTGTTTTCGAGTCGTTAGCGGGAAAAACTGAATTGATGAAAGCAAAGGCTGGATGCTTATATATTCAAGTTCCTAACGCTCTATGGAGGGTAAAGTATACAGCTCTAATTTGGCGCCATCACTGGGTCACAGTCATCAGAAATCTCCCTCATTTCGAGTTGACAGTTGTTTTCAGTCACTCAGACAGTCAAAAAATTTCTTTATTCTAACAACGTCTTCAGGATGCCGTTAATGCCTTGCGAGTAGAAGGCATTGACGCTGTGGGAGTTCCAGCGCATGTTGGAATAAAGGATGATCGGAAAAAACTCATCCAATACGCAATTGATCGGTTTGTTTGTCTTTCATTCTCATATTGTTTTCTTCTAGGATGAACATATATTGGAACTTTGATAGCTACTCTCATTTCTTTCCTATCGTTTCTTATTGTCAATAGTGTTGTATTTTATCGTTATCGTTAACTGATACTAATTGCAGTTATGGTAAACTAGACATTCTGGTTTCTAACGCAGCCGTCAATCCTCATTTTGGTGATATTATGAGTATTTCTGATTCTCAATGGGACAAGCTTCTACAAATCAATGTGAGTCGTTTCCAGTCTTCCTCATTTCCCCTTTAACTTTGATAGAAATGAAAGGGAGAACTTGACCAATGAATATTATCTTGCATTCAATCGTCGTAAAGTTTGCAATCAATCAGACTTTGTTGACTAAGAAATGGGTTCCGGCAAATAATGACGAAAGCGGAGGGAATTCTTGTATCCAGACGAAAAAAGGAATGATAGATTAGCATTCCTTGACCAGCAAACTGGAAGGGCAGATTCTTTCATAAAAATTAAGAAAAAAAGATGCTTGAACCAGTAAATGCGTAGCCGTCTGTGTTTCACATGAGCGTCACATTTCCCGATCTCATCGTCGTATCTTTTCGTTCTCTACCATTGAGGCGACCAATCATAAAGTGCAACATTAGTCATTTGAGCAGCACGGATCCCATGGGAACGTGTCTGGCATTCTACCATGCAAAATATTTTGCGATTCAGAAGTAAGATATAGGGGGCGGGGGAGTATATTGTTGCATGATGTAGGAACAGACATATGACATATGAACGTGAGTTTGTACACGGGAACTAACCAGATGCTCATCTTGTATTGGTTATGAGTTCGAAGCAGAAGAGAAGGGCCACTGTGCAACCTGATAAAATTCTCCTAAATTACAATGGGGCTAATTTTTCGAGTTTCTCCCGTCTCTAGCAATTAGCTGATCTTTGTTCTAAGCGATTGCTGGATCTGTACGGTTTGCCCTAGTTGTACTGAATACTGCGTTAATGACTGTTGAAGCTTTGACCAAGTGAGGGGTCACAATAAGGGATCACTTTTCCTCATGAGGTCTCAACCAAACATATCTATTAGGCAACATTCAAAGGTGTCCAGGACTGTTTGGCGAGAACAGACACTTATCATTGTCATGTTTTCAGGTCCGATCTGCCCTACAACTCACACAAGAAGCTGCTCCACATTTGGAGGCCAGCGGTCGTGGAAACGTTGTTCTTGTGTCATCTGTAGCTGGTTACTCTCCAATTGATGGGCTTGGAGCCTATTCAGTTATGAAGAGTACGCTTATCGGACTCAATAAAGCACTCAGCCAATCCCTGGCTCGACGGAACATTCGAGTCAACGCCATAGCACCAGGTTTTGCTTTTATATTACTACTGCATTAGCGATTTGCGTGTGACTTCCTCATGAAAATATTCGATCTGCGGACAGGAAATCGTTGAAATGAAAAAGTTCACGTTAAGTGTCTCGAGTGTACACTCTTTTAATCAATATGCTTGACCATTCTTCGGGTATTGTCGTTTTCGATGTCTTTATTGGTTACCAAGACCTCTTTCCGCGGGTCCACATATTGGCCTGAAGTTCTTCACATCTCTTTTCGTATTTGCAGTTTGCAAAACTGTGCTTTGGTTTTGCTGCTAGAGAATTGCAGCGATGGTCGAAAAATAGCAGACGGAACTATCATCTGACACAGTCCACTTCATAACAACAGCCGGCCATACGTTGTTTTTCGTTTTAGCATGTGCTCTGGGAGCACGGCGATTTCACGTGTGATGTTGGCACGTTTATGATCGCTACGTCACTGACACTGATTGCATTCAGGGTTGCCCAAGAAATCTCACGCGCCATGTTGCTGTTTGGGCTCATTATCACGCGTTTAATGGCTTTTGAAAGCTGAGTAGTGCGAAAACCAATTCTTCAATGACTAAAGAAATAGTTTGCTGACATTTGGGAACGCTGGCATTGTGCCAATGGCCCAGCCACTGCATATGCATTCACGTGTCTCTTAACGTTACACACACATCTATTTCGAACGCATCTATACTTGAAGTTGTTTTCACAACGGCTGGGACTGCACAAATGTGAAAGAAGTTCACAGTGCTTCGAATCATGGAAGATGATGGAGAAACCGCTTGATGCGACACGACAGCTGTTAGCGTGTGAGATACCCATGCGGCTGCGGAAAATAGCTGCTCGTGAGACACTTGTCCACTTGAAAATACGTATTTTCAAGAAAACTTTTTGACCATCTGATTCGGGGGAACGTATTAATGCGAGGATTGAATTTTGTTAGTAGCACTTCGGTTTTTATTCCATAAATTTCTGAAGTGGTATATGGAATATAGTATTTGCGATACAACATATAATTTCCAGGAATTATACGGACGGACTTCAGCAGAGCTCTGTATGAGAATGAAGTAGACCATCAGAACTGGTTGCGTTCGATTCCTCTAAACCGGTTGGGACACGCTGATGAATGCGCAGATGCAGTTTCGTTTTTGGTGAGTTCGGAAAAGATTTGAAAACTTGCAAGAAAGGGTTTTGAAGCGGATACCCGTCACCTATTTGGCGTAGATTGATTTGAACTTACTCCTTACGTGGAAAGTACTTGGCTGTTGTGCTTACTCTGATCCAGAAACCCTGGTTAGTTTTAGTAGAACTTCGGCTATAATCACCAATAAGTGGAGCAAAAATAAAATGTAAAGTACTCTTCTTGTAACACTTTATTCGTGCGGTAGTTGATAAACTGCATAGGATAGGCTGCTTTCATAGTCCGCGATTAGGCCCGCGAGCGACGGGGGTCTACTCGTCCGTCGGTATCGACCAAGATTCAGTTGTAAGCATGGGGCAAGCGCCGCCACCGTCCCTCGCTCGCGGGCCAAATTGCAGACTATGAAAGCAGCCATACTGCTGGAACTTGGCAGGGGTATAACCACTTTGAAGCAAAAATATGAATCCGTACGATGTTTGACGACGCGCTTTCATTATACTTCAGGTATCCGATGAAGCCAGCTACATCTCAGGAGAGACGATTGGAGTAAATGGTGGCATGCAGGCCCATATATAACTTCCTCAGCCGTAGTAGATTTTCACTGTTTTTCTTGTTTTTTTTTTCATTGGATACTGACCCATCCTGGTTATCCGTCTCCTATCGTCCAGACAGTCAGTGTTCCTGTGCATGTATTTATCGGGTAGATTGCTGCATACAAGAAAACATCGCCGTTAAGTTGTTCCTGCTCACCTAAGATGTTCCATATATTTGTGTTGGACCTCAAATCTTCCCAGTATTTTAATCCTTTCAGACTGGTTGATTGTTATTCTCAGCTACTGTGCCATGCGACTTTATGTAATATTTCTTTGTTAATCACATCGTCAATTATTTTCATTCTGATACTGGTGTTTGAATTTATCAGGATAAAACACTAGAAGAACCTAAAACTATCATTACGACGCTGCACCATGACTTATGGGTAGACTAGTTTTCGCTTCTACGTGCATGACGATTAACAGTGCTTTTGATCGATATACTAACTTCGTCGTCTGGGTAAAAAACGAAAATTTTTTTAGGAACTATTAGAAAGTACACAGTCAAGGCCAACCGAGCCGGGGTTCGCTCAAAGGTACCAAACTGATTAGAGACGACAAAAGCGCTGGTCTGATCATCGTCTTGTCACCGATCCCGCCATGAATTTCATCTAGCCTGACTCATTACTGGTCTATCTCAAGTATCTTCTTTCCTAAAACATTACATTGGGTTTCTCTCATCATTTTGAAGACCGATAGTATTGGGAACGTTCCCCCACCATGAACAGTGCTCTCCTTTTACACACTACTGTCATTACCTTAGCTGTACCATTTCATGACCTTCTTCTGCGTTTGTACCGCATGGAAGAAGGGTCCGCCCTAATGGTGTACTGACGCGGCACAACGGCACTTTTTCCCATTATTTGCTCGATCGGGATGAAGATCAAATGATTCCAATTCCTCCTGCATGATGTCTATTATGGTTTGATTTAGGATCTCAGGTATCCAGCATAGAAATTTCTTTTCCATTTACCAGAGGCGTACTCTAATTTCTGTGGTTACAGGCCAACTTTCAACTCCGTTATTCACAGCAGGACGTACAACGGTTCCCTGACATTTTTTTCAAGGCAATTTGGTGCTTTCCTCGGACCTGGCTGCACTCACATGTTAATAAAAGGCACAGTTCACGATAAAAATAACTCATGAGATATTTCGCTAGAATGAATTCGTAGAACCCCCGTATGCCGTATATAGCACTGAGATACCTGAAAACGTCATCGATAGAGCGTTATAAAGATTCAAAGATTTTCTCGTGTGTATCCGGATGAGTTTCGCCGGCATACAGAGGCTTTGCCAATCGCAAGGGAGCCAATGTAGGGAGATAAAAGAACTTGTTGTGACGCATAGTGGTAGTGAGTTCTGTACAGTTCTGGCTTGATGTAGTGAGTTCTTTACGCAATGGCAACAACTGAAACTTCGTCGAATCCCAGCACCTTGTTACTACGGTTCTGTGTTTTGCATGCTATTTTCGAAAATGGAAAAGAACTGCTTGGCCACAGCAGAGGCCTCGACGGTGTAGGTGCTCTCGGCGACACGAACATGGCCATGAAACTTGCGATTTGCATATTTGCATTTGCAAAGTTGAAATCACGAATCCGCCGTCTGTTGCTGCGAAGGTGTGGCTAACTCCAGCTTCAACAACCTTCATTATCTACGTACCAACATGCAACTAAGAAGGAGGGGAGTTAGTACGATATGGTATATTGACTTGAAAAGGCTTTCCAGTGAGGACCACACTTTCTTCAAGGTCGTCGTTGGTGATTTCTGTAGTCCTAAAAGAACGGGTTAAGATTTTCTTATTGGAACTCACTGAACGAACGGAATGAGCAGGGTGGAAGACTGTCTGAATTTATCATGTCGGCTCACACTATCCAAAGCGATTCGCAGTTCAAGAAACCTTCTCATTCGAGGTGGCCAGGGAGTCAGTTGGTATATATCTCTTATTTTTATAGCAGTGACTTGGTTTGTTAATTTGCTGATCCGCTAAACTTTAAGATTACGATGAAAGACGTGAAAAACCCAGCTCTATTCTACATTTCCTTCTTATATAAAAAGCAGGAACCTGGTGGTTTGATTAATGGAGTAGAGTGAGTACTGCGGAGTAAAGTGAGTAGTGTGGGGTTAAGGGGGTACATCAAACTTGATTTCGATCTGTATTGGCATCGTGTTGTAGCTGTCATCTCTATATCTATGTATACAAAAATCGGAGGTCATAATGTAGGTGAGAGAACCCCGCCTTATTTCACAACATCGATCGCTACAGCGCAGATGAGGAGGTTAGCCCATATTTGTACTCAGAAACGTTTCTTAACCGAGAACATACAGTTTTTGACCTAGCTTCAGGGGCGAAAGAGCAACCGGGTGGGTGAGTCAATCATGCCCCATCCTAGTTTTTTGCACGAGGTAATTACCTCACCCCTACTGATCCTCCCTTGCACTGAAGCCTTCAGTGTTTGAGAAAAGCCTCTCCCTAACCACAGTTTCTAACTAACTTAAACAAATAATGAGTGAGGCGCGTGTAAGCCGGGCGACGCGATTGGAAATTTTATAGCTAGTAGACCAAGTCATGTTCGATCGAAAGTTTTACCTGACTGACGTTATTGTTGTTCCGAATCTGGTGAGGAGGAGACAATGTCCACGGAATAGGCCATCGTCTCCTTCTCGCTAGTCTCTGTTCCAATGGGTGTTATTATAAAAGAGTTGCGAACTTCAGGATACGGGCAAGTAGCGCACAATCGCACCGAAGGACGAGTCTTGGATCGACATCCGCTTATAACAGTCAAGCCTTCCATCCCTTCAAGGCTGCTTGATTGGTACCATATCCGTCTTACAATTAAAGGAAAGAAGCACTAGCTTGTTCGTAGAGCTAAACGGCAACTAAAGCCGTTGAACGAGTATGAGTGGTGGCGAACCCTCACAATACCTATGGCTTAACACTATGACTACTATTCACTGTATAGCAATAGAACTTACATAACTCACTTGTTACTAACTCGAGGGCCGAAACTGTTCGAACTTGTGGCTGATAACATTGTTTTTGAAAGGCGATCACTGTAAAAATTGAAACAAACATTTGGATACCTGAACCTATTTAAGACTCATTGGGTAGGTACGTTCTATAGTTTAGTGCTTCAATCAGCTTTCATCTGGAAAGCCTAGAAAAGTGCAACTATTCGCATAAACACCGATATCTACTGCGAGCGGAACGTCTTAACTACAACGTAAGTTTAAGTTCAGGTTTTCGTCTTGTGCCCAGTTCAAAGCGATGTTTTAAGGTTGAAGAATGTTCCTGGATTTCTTTCCATTGTTTCTGTTGCTGGCCAGTTTCACATTTACAGCAGCAGAGTTCAAGGTGAGGATATGGCGAAGAATCCGACGTTCTAGGGCACAAACCGGACGTCTTTTAAGAAAGACCACAGATGAATGATGTATTCCCTTATCGAAGAGCAATGCATAGGGGGCATGGGAGCAGCAGATGTTTTGGGAGGGAAAGAAACCGAAGCTGCCATTTCCCGCTTTGCAGTTCCGAATGATAGGAAAGTATCATGCGCAAACCCAGGATCGTCACATTGCCATTCTAAGTATGAATGTGCAATCTCAAGGTGGCATGCTTGAGGAACAGGGTACTGGTACAAGAAACGTGCTATTACCCTGTCTTTCTGGGACATAGACCACCCAGTTCGTGCTCCATTTCATAGATGCACAAGCCTCCCAAACATAGTACTAACTGCTTGGACTGATAGGTCTTGAATGCTTCAGCGATACCCCAGTCACCCACCCAACACTCTTGCCCATCCATAATTTGACAAATAGTTTCTTTGGTCACAATAAGTAAAAGATAAACAGATCATTCATTCTCTTCTGTTTTGCGATCACTCAATTAATGAACTATATAAGCCATCTGCGTGTGTTATCAGATAGTAGGCAGTATCTACGCGGCTGGTTGGTCTGCCTCTTCCCGGAATGATAGACGTGATAACGGAACCCAACCGGTAACGCAATCGTGCCAAACGAGTAGCCATTGCATATCAGTCTAAGCCGACATTAGGCTGGTCTCATCCCAAAAGTTCCTATCACTACTCTCTCGGCCACCAATGTATAGAGCCATCATTTATGGGATCACTTCAATGTGTGCCGGTTTCACCAATGTTCCTATGATTGGGAGACAAACTCTACGTCAGTATTTATAATATAATATTTACAAATCACCCTTACACAATTCGCCATTTTTCAGGTCCGCGTTGACACTGCGAGAGAAGCATGCGCTAAAGCTGGCGCGCCCACTGCAGCCACTCTTGCATTGAGAAGACTTTGGGCGGTGTTTTACCAAAAAGAATCGAAAATTGTAATCGCCAGGAGAGCTGGCACCCCTAACTTCTATCAATTTAGTGGTTTCATGGACGTTAAATACAACACGACAAGGACCGACTTGCGTATC